ATTTGCCGCTCGATCTTACCTTGCCTTCATGCGGTTGCTAACCATTTTTATTCGATGGCGAACTGCATCGTGGACTTTACAAAAAGAGTTTTGAGTGTCTTCTTCTTGGTTCACATCGTCGTTTGGGGTAGCACCGAATATCAAATCGCCAGGTAGCTTTAATTCATTTCCGAACAGAACTTTGGCTGGGCTCCGGGATGTGGAATCATGAATGGCCTATCTATAAGCCAATCAAAACTTTGGAATATGCTCATCCCAGTCTCGTTGGCCACTGTCCACCACTTTCCGTAGATGTTCTTCCAGGGTACGATTGAATCTTTCCACCACGCCATCTGATTGTGGATGTAGGGGCGTCGTTCTGGTTTTCTTGATTCCGTAGGAGTCACACATTTCCTTGAAGATCGCTTATTCAAAGTTCCTACCTTGATCGGAATGAACCTCCGATGGAACACCATAGCGACAAATCCAATTTTTGCTGAACACATCCACAATTGTCCTGGCTTCTTGATTTGGGATAGCATAAACCTCTGGCCATTTGCTGAAGTAATCCATGACCACTAAGACATACCGGTTCCCAGAGTCACTTATTGGGAACGGTCCAGCTACATCCATTGCGATTCTTTCAAAAGGGGCTACCGAATTATACTGCTGCATGTAGCCTCGACTCTTCCGTGTTGGACCTCTTACGCACCTTTCACAATTGGCAATCCAGTCGGCAATGGATTTTTGACAGCCGACCTTGTAGAATCTCTGCTTTACCTTTTCAGCGGTTTTTGCTATGCCAAGATGTCCTCCACTTGGCCCATCGTGAAACTCCGACAAGACATCTCTTATTTTGAAGTCTGGGACGACGATCAAGTTCCGGTGAGCTTTACCGTCCTCACTTTCCCATTTGCGATATAAGCAACCATCTATTATAAGTAGACTGTCCCACTGGGCCCAATAGTATTTTAAAAGAGGGCTTTCGGAGGTAATTTCTTTGCGACTAGGTCGCTTGCCCGTTTCTATGGCCGAAATTATTTTGCCCAGAATGGGATCTTTTCGTTGTTCCGTCGACCAATCTTCACCCGACTCAAACTTCAATAGTCGGTCATCAACGATATTCTCTTTATTCTCAGCCTTTGAGCAAAGCCTGCATTCTACCTTGCATGGCCGACGAGACTGGGCATCAGCATTACCGTGTTTTCCGCCTTTTCTGTGCTCTGGAGCCTCTCAATCCAACGGGCTAGTTGACCTTCCGGATTCTTAAACTGCAGCACCCATTGGAGAACAACGTGGTTGGTCGTCAGCAGAAAATGCTGGCCATATAGGTATTTGTGGTAGTGTTTAACGCTCTCAAGGACATCAAGCTGCTCTCTCCTCGTCACACAGTAATTCCTCTCAGGCTTCGACAATGTCCGGCTGTAGTACCCGATGACTTTTTCCTGTCCGTCGATTTCCTGGGAAAGGACGCCACCGATGCCGCACGCACGTGCGTCTGTGTCCAGAGCAAACTTGCCGCCAGGTATAGGGTATGCCAAAATGGGGGCTCTACATAGCATGTCTTTGAGCTCTCTGAATGCCTCTTCTTGGTCGTTGCCACACTGAAACCTCTGGCCTGTTTGCGTCAAGCGGTGTAGACAGGCGGCGATGTTGGCAAAATTTGGGACAAATCGACGGTAGTAGGTGCAGAGACCCAGAAAGCTTCGCAGCTCATGGAGATTTCGGGCTGCGGCCAATCTCTGACGGCTTGAATTTTCTCCTTATCCGTCGATATGCCCTCCGGCGTCACGTGGTGCCGCAGAAACTTCACCTCTCGTTGGAAGAGACTGCACTTCTTTGGGTTTAACTTGAGGCCTGAAGACGAAAGCTGCTGTAGAACATCCTTTAAGTTCTTGATGTGTTCGTCGAAGTTGCGTCCCATGACTATGATGTCATTCAGGTATATGAGGCACGACTTCCACTGCAGCCCTTTTAACACACGCTCCATCAGCCTTTCAAATGTAGCCGGGACGGTGCAGAGTCCGAATGGCATGACATTGAACTGCCAGAGACCCCCATTAACGCCAAACGCTGTTTTCTCTTTATCTTTCTCGGCGATCTCTACTTGCCAGTACCCACTCTGCAGGTCGAGGGTGGAGAACCATGACGTCCCGGCTAATGTGTCCAATGTGTCGTCGATTCTTGGGAGCGGATAGCTGTCTTTCTTGGTGACATCATTCAACTTTCGGTAGTCCACACAAAATCGGGTGCTTCCGTCTTTCTTCTTAACCAAGACCACTGGGGAGCACCATAGACTTGACGATGGTTCTATTACACCACTCTTTTCCATTTCACTTATCAGCTTCTGGACCTCGTCTCTTTTTGCCAGGGGAACACTTCTTGGAGGCTGTTTAATGGGTCTCGCGTCTGCTGTATGGATTTCATGCTTCACCACTGATGTTCTTCCTTGGTGCTCTTTTGTCAACGCAAAGGTAGAGGCATATTTCCATAATAGCTGCTTAGCCTTGTTCCTCTCGGAAGGTGATAATTGGTGTGTCCACTCTTTTATGTAGCCGTCGAGGTGCTTCTTCTCCATGGCTGCTGGCTTTTCGGTGCTAGTTTCCAAATTAATTACAGCTTCAGCTGGTGTGCATTGTCCAACTTCGGAAAATTGGCAAATTTGCTCTTGCTTGTTTGACAGGTTCAAAACTCTAACAGGAATCAATCCGTCCTTGTTGTTTTTCACCAGGACATTCGCTATTAGGATGTTACTGTTTATTTTTTCTGCTGGTTCCACCACCCACAACTTCTCGGCTCCACAATCTCCATTCATTGGTAGCCATATTATTGCTTCGGCACAGGGCGGTATTATCTCTGGATGGTCCGTAGTCATACGCCTAATGGGTGTACTTTCATCGTAGCCCACGTTTAACGGAATTTCGACGTTAGACCAGGTCATCACACGCTCTTTCATATCCAGATTGATACCAAAGGCAATCATTGGCAATAGTTAGTCTCAGGGTAATCTTGCCGTGTACTGCCGCGGGCTCCCCCGTTGTTGTGCGCAGTCTGACTCCATAAAGTTGCGTTATTTTTCCCTTTACCAGAACTGATCTTATGATGGACTTTGATGCGCCAGTATCTAACGTCAGAACTAGCTTGTCACCATTGATGTACCCAGTTGTTGTTAGGTTGTCACTTTTCTGTTGTACTATTGCTATGGAGATTGTGGGGCCATCGTCGATGGGAGCCAGTTCATGCCCCGCTGGACTGGCTCGATTTAGTTTAACGGTGACTCATTGGTGGACTGTTGAGCCATTCTTTTACCATCTTTCGTTGGAGGTGGTGACAATGACCTGGATCGTTTGCGCTTAGCTCTGCATTCGCGCGCAATATGACCTGCTTTATCGCAGTTGTAGCATCTAATCCTGGGCTTGGTCATCCCTACTAACTTTGTTTCTTCTATTACCTGCCTCATGGCGTCCTTGATCGAGTTAACACTGTCTCGAACTGTAACTTGAAAACATTGAATGGCGTAGAGCCGTCGAATACAGGAGGTTTGATTTTTAGTGTGTTATCAGGAACTCGCACCGGACCACCTTTAATTTCCAGTTCCGACATTTTCTTCTCCAGATTCGTAAACCTGTGGTCGTGGGCCTGAAATTTCTCATCCACAGACAGAATCTTCTCGTCAACCGACTGCACTTTCTTGTCAAACTCTTTAATTTGGACCTCCACGGTTTCCACTCTCCTTCTAATAACTTCTGTAATGTTCTCGAATTTCTCGTTCATTCTACAATTCTCTGCCTTGAGTTCATCTAACTTTCTGGAATTCTGTTCGAACATTCGTCTCGTGTTTTCTACTAACTTTCTGGAATTTTCCTCAAACATTTTAGCCAGCATTTCTCTGAAATCGTCACCCCTGGCAGCTACTGACGAGACTTCCCCACCATTGGATTCGCCCATTTCCGATAAATCCACTTCATCCTTACTGTCAAACTCGTATGTATCGATGTTCATACCACGGCGCTCGAACTCATCCAACAGACGTTTTTGTAGTTCAGCCTTGTTGCCAGTAGAGGACAATTCCAATGTATTGAGCCCCTTCTTCAAGTCTTCCACTCGTAGATCCTTAAAGTTCATCGTAGTATTATCGTAATCCCACTTCTGACGCCAATTGTTACGTTCTTGGATTTTACTTAATCCCGTGTAGACGTTGTATTATTTCCCAATACAGTTCGTACTAAATAAAATGCGGGTTCTTTCTGATTACGAATATTACAATGATTTTATTGACACAACTTTACTTTGCACTTTACTTGACGGTTTAAATTCGCGATCTGATTCACAACTGACTCACTGCCTTGCCATTTCCCCTATTTATATGAGCCTTGCCTGTCGCTACAGAAGTTTCTAGGCGATCTGGTAACACCTAGAATACGAACAATCAACCAATGCAACAAACACATACAAACTTACATTGAGTGAACAATAACAACAGCACATATACAGGCGAGGGAGTAACAAAGAAAGAGGAATTAAGCGATCATCAATGATGACGTTTAACAAACGTCATAAATGAAAGAGGAAATAAAAGGAGGTACAAAAATCTATACAGTAGTTGTTGTTGTGAAGTTATTCGAATAAACTGCGTAGTAGAAATTTACGTTACAATTCAAACAAAAAATATAAACAATATTACCTTTTGCACAACGATATGTGCGTAGCCTATCTTGTCGTAGCATGGAAAACTGCCAAGGTAATAATACTATCTCAAAAGATAAAAACATAAGAAATGCCAAAATCTGCGAGCCATAGGTTTGCTGCCTTATATTATTAAAGTTTTTGGGACATCAACAAATCTTTCTTTATTGGAGCTTGTCTTATAGATTTAGAAAAAAACATTTATATATTTTTATATAGTATAAATATTTTACGTGAATAAATTTAAATAAACACAAAAATTATGTGTTTCCATTAGATCATAGTATATATAATAAACATTTTTACTGAAACCGTATATTATGGTATGAACTTACAATATTCCTACTAGCGTCAGCTTTTAAAGGATTTTCCGCTGCTAGCATAGCAGATGAAAACATTATGCAACATAGAATGAAATTGCCAAAGTTACTGTGATTACATAATCGATGACAGAATACGCGAAACCTAGAAAATATATGTTATTAATAGATTTGTCAATTGCCATTACGTAACCTTCACATTTAACTTATCATAAACAAAATTCAAGAAATTGTAATTTCAAAGCTTTAATGGCTCTGCATACATTAAATTGAAACAGCTCGTGTAGTAGAATTCTGAAAAAAATATACCATACAGGTTCGAAGGCATGTGCCACTGAAACAACTAAATTAATCACTAAATTGCTAATATTAACGAGAGAAAAAAGAACAAAAAACGACAATAGAGTTTTGCTGGAAAGGGCGGGGGTTTTGTCAAAAATGGATTGAGATCTGTCTAAACAAATCTGAAGAAACCCACTGTGGGCTTATAAAGACATCAACAATCGACTGTCCCATTGTTGTCGGTAATTCAATGCATATGGGTTACTTCCTGTTGATATGGTGAATGTTATATCCACTCGAACAGATTGTAGAATACTACTTGCACCAAAAAAATAAAAATATTCTTCGATAACAAACATATGGGTTGGTCCGGACATCAGCAGAAAAAAACAACCGAATCATATTATGCGTGTCCAAAAAAAAACATTTCCCGTATGTGAAGGATTGTTTCAAAGCAGTAATTGGACTGGAATCCAACAGTAAATGTTCGCAGTCAATTAGCACAGCGGAGTGGTTCCGAATAATAGAGGAAAATTTTGCTGTGTTATAAAAAAATGGCATTACATTACTTATGAAAATTGCAGGAAACTTCTGTTTGTGTTTTTTTTTTGCAAAAAAAAATATAAATATTTTCTGGGAGGAATATTCCAACAGCAAACTTAGAGAACTGGTGAGGATCTGTAGCGAGATCCGAAACTATAGTATTTTCTGGCTTACCCCTTGGTGGACAAAGGCCTTTTTTTGCCCGCTAATAAAATGTTGTGCTTATAGCAACATACACAGTCGAATTTCGTATGAGTGTTTTGCAGTAACACAGTACAAATTAAACATCAACACTACCGAATTTTGATTGATCGGCTGAGGTATTCCGGAATTACGAGTGGCACCCAAATAACAAAAACATCAATAAACGACTTGGGACAATAATTATAATTTTTAATGCGGAGATGTAGTGATACCGTTATGAGAACCCATATTGCAGCCAATTTTATTGAAAAACGCGTCAAAAATCCTCATATTGGGTCCATCATTATATGGGGCTACCCTTAAACTTGTGTCAATCTTAAACATGTGCTGTATTATAGAAAACTATATCCAAGTTGGTTGGAAAACGTGTCGAATATACCGAATACTGGGGGTACCGATATATGGTGGCTAACCTGAATCTTGGATGAATATTAATACTCGGAGGAAAAAAACGCCTCTCTAACATATGTTCCAAAAATATTTTGCAGCAAACATATATATGCTTGGGTCCCAAACATATATATGTTTACATCCAAACATATATATCTTCACATCCAAACATATATATGTTCATATACAAACATATATATGTTTACATCCAATCAAATATATATTTACATCGAATGTACTGCTATATTAAAGTTCGCATAGGTGATTTGATTACCAAATTTGACAAACTGAATCTGCATGTCACTAATAGCATCCTTCTTCAATTCACCAATTGACTGTTAATGAGTTCTATGCTTTGTTTTTCCATTATCATGCAAAAACAGCATGCTTGTAATACAAATCGTCACAACAACAAAGCACTGAATACATGTGTTTATTCGTCCGCGCCTCCCTAACACACACCCTTACCAACGAGTCAAGTTTGTTGGTTCTTTTTGTTTGTTTTATTATTACCTTCTTAAGTACATTCTACGATCTATCAGCTGGGCTAATGCATCCACGTGCGTTTCTTCGGCAGCAAATATTACACACAAACTCACAAATATGTGTTTTTTGGTTGTTCCGTTCTTTAGCTGCCGTATCATACAACCATTAAATGAAATAATGTCCCCTGCACTCCACACTCAAGAGCCACCCAAATTTCTTGTCTTTTGCTTTTTTTCTTTTGTTCTAATATT